GAAAATTGATTATGCATCATAATTATGCATTGTTAATTATGTTAAATGACTGAAGACAGTCATATGCTTATATAATCTAACTGAATAAATTGAGGTATGCGTGTGAATATTTGCGTGTGTCTGCTTAAAATGTGCGTGTGTGTATGTTTGTAGTTAACCAAGGAATTTCCTGTGGTTTCTGAAATATTTTGCAGCTATGGCAGAAATCTGAAATCTGTTATCTAATGCAATTATTGTGCCATTTGATTAATGACTTAAAATGGGAAAAGGTTTTTTTTTTTTTACTGCTTACACTTAACACCTCAAGAATACAGAGTAAGATAGATGGTGATCAGGATAAGGCCTTCACAGTCGATAGTCGTTTGCTGGGCTTTTTTCCCTTAGAGCTGCTTACCGCAAGTATTCTCACACTTCTGCTGGAAACCCTTGAAAGTACTTTAAACAGCGAAGTGTTTTGGCATACAGGTTAAGCGTTCTTCAATTCAGTTCAGTGAAGTTCATCCCCATGAAGAATGTCTTCTGTATGCTATAGTGAAAAGTACACAGGATGCTATTGTAAAGATAAGACAAGGGTAACAATCTTCCTACTAATTTTCCCATAGCAAGAGAGCCATAAAGTTTCCTCAGAATGAGTTAGTGTTTTAAAGGAATAGTTTACCAAAAACATTTGTCATGTCATCATTCTCTCATCATTTACTCAGTCATTTCATTCCAGGCCAGTATGATTTTTTTTTCTGTGCAACACAAAAGGAGATATTAAAAAAAAAAAAAAAAAAAAAAATTTTCAAGCTGCTCTCTTCCATACAATGAAATTATATAGTGATATAGATACCATACAAGAAAAGTATCATAATTTTGTGGTCCATACAACTACGTTCAACTATGCTTGAGGTGTTATTCACTGAAAATCTCTTATTGTTAACTAAAACTTAAAAAAAATTTTTAATTGGAATAAAGCTGAAATAAAGTAAAATAAAATATAAATATTTGATGAAAATTATGTGTGGAAAAAAAAGTTGCCTTGGCAACTGACTAAAATTTAAATGTTTAAGCTGAAGTACTAAAATTACTTAAAAACTGAAATAAAAATAAATTTAAGCTGGAAAAAAACTGGTAAGAATGACAAACTCATGTAAAATGACTAAAACAAAAATTATAAAATGAAAACATAAAAATAAACATTAATTCATAATATCAATAAATACTATAATAGTTTATAAATAATACTAAAATAACATTGGATAAGCTGTGTCAAGACCATGCCACCCCAAGTTTGACATCAGTTGTGCCAAAACATCATTGGCTGTTAAATGTCTAGTAATTACAGAAGTGTTGATGAGATTTGAGAATAAATGATGACAGAATTTTTATTTTGGGGTGCATTATTATACTAAAGAGTTGTTGGTTTATGGAGTAATTTTCCCATGATGAATTTCCTTCAGCTAACGATACCAGGAACCACACAGAGACTGCTTTATTCATTGACTAGAACAGTCGATTGACATAAGTCGAAATAGATAATTACTGTTGTTAATATACACTGGTGTATGTGTGTGCATGTAACTGCTTACAGTTGGTGTAGACTGCAAGGTCCAGACTTGAGGCATTACATGTTTCTGTGAGGTGAGTGAGTGTTGTATTTTTAATGCTGCAGGCTGGCTATGCTGCTGTAACGGTGTTGGTGGTAAGTGATAGGGCTGCGCTCCATGCCCTGTGTGTGCTCTGGAACAAACTGAAGTCATGTCCTGCAATTAAGCAGCTGGGAAATGGAGCGGGAGGAAGGGGCACAATGAGAGTGTTACTAGACCAGGATCTTGTTCCTAGAGCTTTGCATCATGAGGTGTCTGAACAGGAAGGAAGTAGAATCACTGAACTGCCCATTTGAGTCCCAAGACATTTTGGACCCTGTTTACAACATTGTTATTTTAGTGTTATTTATATGACATTTATTCATATTTTGAATGAGCCTTTATTTTTGTATTTTCAGTTTTAATTTTAGGGTTTTTTTCTTACATTTTTCATTTCTTTTTTTTATTTTATATCAAAAACAAGTTTTAATAGTTTGTTTTAATTACCAAAACCAACACGGTTTTAAACATGTTTAATGCTGTCCACTTGTAAATGGATCATCAAATATGGTTGTAAACTGGGTCTTTAGGTTAACAGTTAACGTGAAAGATCAAGGTTGTCACAGAATTGCACTTTAGGTAGTATAGTTCATAAGGGTGGTCACTAATACATCTCAGGCTTTGATTTAGAGCAATTGTTTTTGATTGTGACTTTTTTGTTCACAAAGCATTATGTCCATGTGACTCCACTAAATCATGTCTTAATCTCAGGATTTTGCTTCTGAAAGCCTCATTAGTGTTTACATAGATGTTAATAAAATTGCCTTTTGTCTATTTGTGTGGTTTAGAGGAGTTTCATTTCACTTTGACCTCCTTTGTGAAAGCATGTGATTTTTTTTTTTTCAGGGACATGGCAACTTCCCCCAGCATGCTTAAAGTTTTTCAGAGATCTGAAAGGTTTAGATATCAGTACAGTTTGTGTATTTTGTCTCAAAATATAAACATTCATACAAAGTCCTTATGTCCTCTGTGATCTATTAATGATAGTGTGAAGATTTTATGGGTCATGCATAAACCTAATGATTGCTTTTGAAAACTGGCCCTTCCTTAGCCTGTTTCCATGGCGCTTTGTATGATGATAAGGCAGAAAAACAATTTGTCTGGAGTTTCAGAAAAAGGCCAATGAAACAATTTCTGAGACTGACGGGTTTTATAATATTTTGTACCTCACAAGGGCAAATCAGAGAGCTTTGTCTATGGAGAGAGAGAAAGGCACTTCCTGTTTAGGAACACTAATCTCTCAGATTATTATTAGCAGTAAAGAGTCTTGAAATAGCACCAGGCCACTCTCCTCAGAGGAATGCTGCTAAGCTCTATCAGTGCTCTATTCTGCATGAGGAATCACCCTGTTTTTAAAGTTCCATAAAGTTCCTTATATTCAGTCTGGTTTGACTGCCAGTTATGATTGAACACATGACATAGACATTTTTTCACGTGGACAAGTTTTTCATTTTGAAGCAAATGCTTACTTGGTGTTGAAAGTTCTTAATACTTGCAACACAGTTAGGCACAAATAGAGGATGATCAGTCACACTCCAGAACCCAGAATTAAGAGAACTCTTTAAGAAAGAAGAATCTCCCTTGTCTAAAACATTTAGTTCAATACTTGGTCTAAATTTGACCCTGGACCCCAAAACCAGTCTTAAGTCGCTGGGGTATATTTGTAGCAATAGCAAAAAATACATTGTACGTGTCAAAATTATAGATTTTTCTTTTATGCTACAAATCATTAGGATATTGAGTAAAGATCATGTTTCATGAAGAAATTTTGTAAATGTTCTACTGTAAATATATTAAAACTTAATTTTTGATTAGTAAAATGCATTGCTAAGAACTTAATTTGGACTACTTAAAAAGGCGATTTTCTCAACATTTAGATTTTTTTGCACCCTCAGATTCCAGATTTTCAAATAGTTGTATCTCGGCCAAATATTGTCCTATCATAACAACAAGCTTATTTATTCAGCTTTCAGATGATGTATAAATCTCAATTTTGAAAAATTGACCCTTATGACTGGTTTTGTGGTCCAGGGTCACAAATAAATCTTTGGGAAACTCTTTAAAAGCATCTTAAGTGAGCAGGTAAATTAAGAGGAGGAAGCTCCAGATGAGTTTTATCCTTGTTGACTTTCTGATCCGTTTCTCTTCATTTCACAACCTTTTTTGTCGTGGGAAAAAAAGTGGCTTCACAGATGATATAAGAGGAACAGAGTCTGGGGGTTTCACAGCTGAATTACGTGAAGTCACTCATTAGGAATATTTTGACACTGATAATGTAAGGGGTCACATGAATAGGGCACAAAATAGAACCTAAAGATATAATGTTATAGGAACTGTTTTAAATTTTTGATTGATTTATTTAATTGATAATACTCCAATTATCATGCTGAGTTAATATTATATTGGATACTAGATATGTTAGGAAAACTACTAGTTTTCACATAAAACAAAACACAGTATCTGTGGCTCTGCTGCTTAAAGAAACCATGAGATGCCAAGGTGTACTTAATACATAGAAATTTCTGGGTAATGAGTAGTAGCAGTGTTAGTGAGACCTTGAGCAAAGGCTTAAGATTAAGATCATATTAAGACATTTAACATCGTAGTTTTCACTTTAGGGTTGCTTTAAACCTACCTGTCTTGATGATTTGCATAATTTGAAAGGGCCTAAAATCCTTGCAGCGGGATTTAACTGAACCTGCTCTTCTGCCCCTCAAGTCTTTGTGTGAAAGGACAAAACACACACACACACACACACACACACACACACACTGTTTTTCCAGTAAGGGTAGAGTGAATGGGTTACACACACCTAGAATGACCATTAACTTTGACAAACATTTCCTGTTGACCTCACGATTCAAATCGTGACTTACTGTTTTGCAATAATGAACTTAGGGCCAGAATTACTAACAGCTTGCGCCAGCGCAACCCCTCTTTTGGGCTTAAACTACTGTCAGGATTTGCTAAAGACGCAGTGAAAAATTAGCAATGAAAAGGGCATGGACAGTTTTTGCATCTGACCTTATTGCATATGCATTTGTAGGAGTTTCTCTTTCAGACATTTAAGGGAGGACGGTATATAAATGAATCATGCAACTTGATTTACTACGGTTTGTGATTGTCAATTTACAATAATATATGTGCCATTATTTATTGCCCAAAAAAGCTATTTTCCATTTGACATGGCTGTGATAGTTGGTAATTTGCAGTGCTCTTTGTAGATTGTGTTGGTCATTATGGAAATAATCTGAATGTGTGTCATGCTAAATTGCCCTGTTTAGTAAATCTGGCCCTTAATGTGTATAAAGCAAGCATTATTATTGGCGGACTGTTGGTTGTCTGATGATTTTGTCTGTTTTTGATCGACAGGTACAAGCCCTTTTTTCCTTTCCAAGTGCAGCCACCGCTGGCGTCATCATGTGACCTAGACATCTCCATCCGAGAGACACTATTGGTGGAGGGGCGTCTACGTGTCACACTTGTTGAATGTAGCAGGTAGGGCAGACTTTTGTTGCTGTGCGTGACACAATCAACATTTACTTAATCTTTAATCTTTTAGGTAAATGAAGGCAATTGTAATCTAAAAGTAAAAATGTGGGAAATTGTCATGCACACTTGAATAAGGACAGCTTGAAATGTGTCTCTTGTGCAGTTTTCAGTGTCATCCCAGATCAGGCATATTCAATTAATTTTGTACTGCTAGCCTCTATTCAATAGATACGTGCATTTACACCTGTCTTTGTTTTCTTTAATTCTCTTTACTTATATACATTGTAAGTAGTAGCACATATAAAACTTACAAAAACATTCATATAAAGAGTCTGAAATTATATGTGTCAATTCAGGTTAGTACACTGCTGTTTCTGTTTTCTTATTCTTCTGGGACACAAAACTCATAGACAGCCATAACATTCTAAGCCAATAACATTTAAAATGGCCTGGTTGCAAGCTGTTGTGTTCGAGAACACACACAATGCAACAAAAGCTGTATTATTCTCACTATTGGGTGTCTTTGTGTTTTTGTCAGATTAGTAACAGACTTCAATTGTGTTTGTAATGGGCTTTCTATTAATAATGCAGAGCCTTTGACAATTACAAACCCAACTCAACACTGATGTGGGTGTACATGCACACACACACACACACTATTTGTAGTCTGCACACTGGATCTTTCCATGTGGCATTAAGCTGAGAGTTTGGTAAAGTTGCTAGCTGTCCAGTGTGTGTTTGCACAGGTCAGTTTATGTCTCAACTGTACTGTGGCTTTTCCACCACCAGAGGGCAACAGTGGACCAGTCATGCTTCTGATGGGCCAGTTGTGTTTTGCTTGTTGAGGATTGTTTAGTTAAAGTTGGAGCTCAACTTTGCAGGAAGGAGGCCCTCCAGGAGCAGGATTGGTATCACTGCCTTAGTTACAAATGTGATTACATTTTTATTTATTTATTTATTAATGGAGAAAGTGTCACGTTTTTAATCAAAACACAGAAAGCAAATACAGTCTGGTCAGGTCTATTCTTAAGTATTATATTTTTATATTTTGTAATACATTTACACTACCATTCAAAAGTATGTGGTTGGTGAGTCTCTTATGCTCACCAAGGCTGCATTTATTTGATCAACAATACAGTAAAACAGTAATATTGTGAAATATTATTGCAATATAAAATAATTGTATATATTATTAATTTAATATGATATTATATAATACAAAGTTTTGATGAATGAAAAAATTAAACGGAACAGCATTTATTTGAAATAGAAATATTTTGTAACAAATGTCTTTACAAATGTCACTTTTAAAAGTATAAAAGTATTAATTTTTTTTTTTTTAAACGAACTGATCCCAAACTTTTGAATGGTAGTCAGTGTGAATGCGTTTTTTTTATAGCCATAATGCTTTTCTTTTAGTGCTTGTAATGAAAATGTTTAGCCAGCAGATGGTAGTAGTAGCTTATAAACGGTCATTTAAACTGAACGTCTGTTGATTAGGTTTCAGAGCTAAATTTGCCCTAGTCATTTCTTTTGATCACAGTATTAAAACACTATTTCCTTTTCATTTTGGTTGTCCAATTCAGTTATTGTATATAATGTAATATTGTATATAATTCAGTTATAGTATATAATGTACTGAAATATACCGGTACTTTTAAGATAATGAAAATTACTTCACTGTTTTTTCTTTTTCTGTGTTCTCTCTACAGGTTGTTTATCCTGGGCTCCTATGAAAGGGAGACATATGTTCACTGCACCTTAGAGCTCAGCTCTGACGAATGGCGGGAAAAAACTCGCAGCTCCATCAAAGAGGTACACGTTACATGTCCTGCTGCATGTGTTTCTTTCTGCCTGAGGGCGCTGCACTATAGGTTTACTGCGCTGCGCGCACGCACAAACATGCATGTTTGAAATGCATTTAAGGGGTCATATGATGCGATTTCAAGTTTTCCTTTCTCTTTGGAGTGTTACAAGCTGATTGTGCATAGATAAGATCCCTGAAGTTGCAAAGACTAAAGTCTCAAAACCAAAGAGATATTCTTTATCAAAGTTAAGATTCTGCCACGCCCCCCCTAAAACGGCTCGTTCTAACACGCCCCCACATATCTACCTCACTATGTGGAAATATTTGCATAATGCTGCCCAAATGTGCTCGCAAAGAAAAAAGGCGTGGTTTCAGTAACCGCAGTTAGTGTTGAAGCAACCATGTCAGGGAGACGCTGTGTTTCTAGGCGAAAGCAAAAGCACTTTATTTGGCCTTCCGAAAGTAGATGCATTTAGGAATCTTTAAGATCACTTACAACAGAACAGCAATGCATTTTATAGA